AATGTGCACGCAAATTACATCATAAACAACTGGTATATAATGAAAAAAATGTCCAAATATCTGAGCCTTCTGACACCGATGTTATCTACAGTGGAGTTGCCCTCTCCTGAACGTTACAGTGAACAAAACTGAAGGACAGCTGAAACAAGGGGGAAAATGGCGCCTCAGGGAACATCAGCAGGCAGGTTTCTAAAGGGGACGTTGGGGGCATTAAGAGGGCTGTGCAGAGAGATAGATGCACTTAGACAGCAATACTCATTCTGTTCCTTATTTCACAAAAATATTTCAACTACACAGTATTGATCAGAGGCCATAACACAAAGCAGCGCTACAAGCACAAAATACGTAGTGTTTGGCTATATCTCTAATAAGGAACAACAGGTTAATTCCATGCAAAAAAGAGAAGAAAGAAAACAACATTTCGGCCATGGAGCCTTCTTCGCCGAAACGTTGTGCTTTCTTTCTTTCTTTGTGCTTTCAGCATGGAATAAACCTATTACTTGTTCCTTTGCAGTCTAAGCATGCTGACGCAGCTACCCACCTGAACTACTACACCTCAGATATCCAATTTTTGCCTTGATAAGAATCTAAGCGTGATTATAAACGAGGAGGCCTTTTGGTCCATGTGGCCAGGTTGTAGTTAGCAGTTAATTGATCCAAGGATCTCAGCCAGTCACTTCTTGGCATAAACCAGGTTATCAGCTTCACAACATGGCCGGGTAGCTTGTTCCATACTCCCACAACCCTAATAAGTCCCAATTTAAATACTAAGTCACAGCAACATACAGTAGATGTTCATAGTTTGGTTAACATATTGCAGACGAGACAGCTCCACACTCAAAACCCCTATTCCCAAGGTGTACCTGGTGTCACATGTCTCTTTTTGGCTGTCCGGATCTTGCAGTTACCTTTACAGTACCTTCTTTTGTTTCCGAGTTGCTTTGGACACTGCGGCTTTCCAAAAGCATTTAACATGGAAAATGTTTATTTATTTAAAATCTACATTTATACTGATGTTTAGTCTTACTCCTGCATGTGACCACAAAGTTGTTTTGCATTTAATTTGCATTATCTCATTTCCTGTCATTCTACCGAATGGCTGACCAACCCGGGTCCAGGAATTCCAGTCCAACAGGTCTTATAGATCAGCCATAAAGACCTACAAGATTTTTGTTAACTGTTTCAATTCAGAAATGACATGTGGTCCTTCTGAGTAGTGGTTACCATTATAACATGTATGCTATTACATACAAGAGTATTACAAACTTAATTTAAAAAACATTATAGTGTTTAGTGTCCTTGCAACATTATTTTCACTGTTTTCAGCACTGCAAAATTGTAAAAAGAAATACAGTTAGAAAGAAAAAAAAGATGCAGCTCTGTACTTGTGTATTTTTATCTATGCAGTAGGTACTTATATCACAGACATGTTAGGCTATTTACCCTTAAAAATTGCAACCCCCTCTGAAACACCGAATTGGTTGCACAATAGCAACCAATCCACTTCCAGAACTGATAGCATGGGTTTCCACCGAAGTTTTAGCAATTCCTTTAATTGTCCACCAATGAGTTAATACTAATTTTACAAAGATAAACTCATTATAGCTATCTCCCTTTTACAGATATGACCAAATTAGCAATTGTGACAGATGAATGAGGCAACTGCAAGAACGACCCAGTTTAAATGACCAATACACTTGTCAGCACAGTCACTGACTTCTTTCTATGTTGCATCGTCCCGGGCAAAAAGGCTCATTCAAGCAAGAAGAAAAAAAAATGGAGTTACTAAACTGCTCTTCCATCAATGTCAGAAATCAGGGTCTTCTCAGCATGTTAACAAGTTAGAGGACAACCCAAACAAACCTGATTAAGCAACCAAATTAAAAGGACACCCTTTTTGGTTATCTGAACATCCTACCTAATACAACTTGTGTATGCCAACACTTGCTTGTGTTTAATGAATGCTACATACTGTATCAGGGGAAGATCTTGTCATCTTTATTCTGTTCCACCCAAGTCATTGTTTTGACTAATACCTCATTATTTAAGTGACCTTAAGCAACTGCGTCAATTTAGCCTCTTATTTGACCTTTGGTTAGTTAAGGTCTGCTAAGCTCACAGTTCAACAATGGAAATGAAATGACAAGCTTGTCTTTCCTTTATACATTTGTTAGTGCTTGAAAGTTTGACCGTGACCTTGACTCAGATTGGTTCTGAGAAAATGTTTTCTGCAATGTGATACCAGGACCCTCGTAAGGGAATCCTGTCCCAGTGAGCTAATGTCCTTAGCCTGGGCTAGCACTTGTGATGCTTGGATCCCAGGCTTAACCACCAACTGAAGAGGGCAACTTTACTAGCAGAGCCACCTGGGAGTTTAGACAGCAGCCCTTTTTATGATAAATTAATACTTCTTTTACAGAAGGCAAATAAAAAATTACCACAACAGTGGGTCATGAATAATGCTTGGAGCCTGCTGGTGACTACGGATGCATAGATTTTGACTTTGATTTATTGTAAGCTCTCCAACTCAGGGGGCAGAGGCAGAATGTTGTAGAAGCCAACCTATTCCCATGATTTCATGTTAATGAAGCCATTTTCTCCCCCTCCTGATTTTATCAAAGGAGTGATTTACTACACGTTCCTTTGCCTTGGTTCCCTGTAAATCTAATAATGTACACATATTTATATGTTATATAAAAAGGCCATGCTTCACATGGTCTAGGTAGCTATTAATACTAATGAAAATGTTGCCATCTTTAATTACCCTTAATCTTATCCAAGCTTTCATTATCCAGCACAGGTATTCCAGAAATAAGATATTGCAGGCTACTTAACCTGATCACTGCACCCTTAATTACTGAAATGCCTCTGTAACATACAACACCAAAGACTATTATTCTGTGAATTATATGCAGTTTCTGTCTCCAACTGGCTGTTCTGCATTAAAGCTGTAATCAATAGTGGTAAGACTGAATGTCACTGTATTTCTTAATTAAGGTGGAGATGACTGAGGAAGAAAAGCATAACTTTCTGCCACTGGACTTAGTTTTTTCACTTTTGTATCGTTTAGCATTTGCTTCACAAATCTAATTTCTGTCAAGGGATCCCCCTTTTCTAATTAATTAAAAGAAAGATAGTGACAAATTCAATAGGCTACTGTATGAATGCCCCAATTTAAAACAGCAATAAACTTTTCAGCACAAAGAGTGACTATATGTTTTTCTATGCAGCATCACCATTTCTCTACTTCTTGTTCACCAAATGCATCCTACAAGCTGCAGTGAAAACAACTGGCTACACATTAAAATTGAAGTCTCTATCCTAAACCGAGTTCAGAAAATGGGTTGATTCAACACATCTTAAATGGCAGGTAGATCCTCTTACAAGGCTTTTGGAAAACCAGTGATGCAAATTGCATTTCAAAGGCAGAAGAAAACACAGTTAAAAGGTTACAAAACCAAACCCACTTAACTTTCTAAAAGCCACCATAACAGTAATGAGTTTTCTTTTAGCTTGCTACATTTCTTGCTAAACTCAACAATCAAAGAGAAATAAGACACTATGTGTTTTTCTGAATTTTTAATGACAAATGATCATGAAAGCCCTGAAAAAGGATAAAAGAAACAGTTTTATGCTATAGCCAAAGTAACACTCAGATATGCCAAATGATAGTTCTTGATTACAGAGTGAGCACAAGCCTGAGGAGAACATTGGTCTCCCCCTAACAGAACAATATAATTTCCATTTGAAAAAAAGAACAGGCTGGAAAACACCCTCTCAATGAACTGGAAACATGTTGATGGAGGAAGAACTAAAACAAATACAGGGAAGGTAATGAACAGAGGTTTTATTTAATATAACACAACAAACAACAAACAACAAACTCACTGTGCCCATTTAAAGTTGAAGTCGGCTTCAACCAAAAAAGTAACATATTTCTGCAATTAATCTTAAGATATTAAAAAACTAATTTACTGATAACTGATTTCTTTATCTGAAAACATGAATTATATCGTTGTTTCTGGAGGTTTGAAACTAGTGTAAATGGAATGCAACAATGTGAAAAGCTTTTAATTTTGTGCCTAAAGTATTTTTAGTATATACATACAGTACTGTCTATACTTTTGCATAGCATTTTGCATGATTTTCCTAATTACACTCACTGCCTTTCCTTCATTTACCTTGTTTACCTTTCCTTTTTAATTGACCAAATATATTTTAATTATTTCAGCTGTTACAATCAAGTATTTTGAAAAGTCAGATCAATGTGCATCAAAGATTGATAAATGACAAGCTTGGTTTCTTCTCACCCAAACTAAGATAATTAATAACAATTAAATACATATTATTCAACTGTTATTCAACAAGAAAACACATAGTTTTAATGTTTGTATGTGAGGCCTATGTTATTTTCCTTCTCATTGTGGTGAAGAACCACGTTCTTCTAACAAGCTAGTTTTGTGTTATCTTATTATAATAGTATGCAGCTACAAACAGTTGAGATCTTTCTTCAAGTTTTACATACAACTAATCCATTTGTGTTAGATGGGTTGAATGGCCTTCTCATGTTTGTAATGTTCATGTTCGTATCACAAATACATTCTTTTAAAGTCCCTTTCATTTATGAGAGGTATATTCTATCTTTAATACACTGGAAATGTTATCATGGCTAAGGTCCACCGAAAGATGAATCATATAATCGGACATTATGCACTAAACGAAGTCCCCCCAAAAAGTAATTACATGAAGACATACATACAGTCCCTGATGAAGTAGTACTCTTTGTCGGATTTTACGACTTGAGGCCGGTTGCACAAAGTGAGTTAAGTTAAATTCTCCCTTAAGTGTTCTTTAGTTTCAGAAGACAATACAGAGTCCCTTAGCACACTGAAGTCAATATCATAGCCTGGGGAAAATCAAATATTTAGCACTTAAAATGCTTCCAGCAATAAAGACCAGGCCAGTTTTAGATGTTCATGAGCTTTCCCACAACGTCTTACCTTGAGCCGATCTTTGGGCAGAGCCACAGCTCCTTGCTTGATGACCTCTTGGACACGTTCCACAGATAGGTCAGACCCGGCCTGCTCCAGCCGTGCGCTGAAGAAGCCAATCACCTGTGGGATTAAGACGTGTCATCACCAGCGGTGCAGCCACGTTCACAAGGCACTTGGCACCATCTCTTTTTTAGCCCAAATTCCACAAAGCTCTTTTTTAACACTTTTGGTTCTGAGAATTAGCGAATCTCTGACATTTTCATTTTACCAAAAGTGAGAAAAAGAGGTGGGCAAAAATAAGTGCAGAGTAACATGATCTTGTTAAGGCTCACTATTATTTGTAGCTATATTAGTTTTTATTGGAGTTGTGTATCTTTGTCTAGTCTTTTTAGTTGTTCTTGCAATGAAAAGTGCTGAAAATATTTTGTGTTGCAAAATCTGCCTATTTTACTAAGATGGAGTGGAGTTAAGGCATCATGAACTTAGAAATGCATGAGGTGAAAGAAATAATGAACACCAATCTGTAAAGCACAGAAGCTATGAAATGCATTTCCACTTCCCCAGTGAAATGATACTAGCTGAAGGCATGTAAAATTCATGACTTGTTCGCTACTGTGTGGTTTTAAGTGTAAGCAGAAACATATGGGATGATTTAATGACAGGATTTTATGCTGCTTCTTAAAATTCAGGGTAGAAAACAGAAAACTCATATCAAAAACTCCCAGGACACAGCTAACCCTGGTAACCTCCTCTGCTAAGGACAGAAAATACAATTTCTGTGATATTATTTTATTTAAAAACATACCCAGATCATACATTTTAAATGTAGTTCAGCATAGTTATAGTACACCTCTATTTATACAATATTGTAAGGAATTGTTGGAAATTTCCAAGTATTAATTTGATTTTAGTTTCCCACACTAAAAGCAAGTGCATTCAATCCAAAACAAAGTTGTGAAAGCTCTGTGTGTTTCTCCTACGGAATACTCCAGCACATTAAACACCACTGATCTTGTGTTATTAAAAACAGACATATACAGACATCTAAAGGCATGTAAATCTCAGCAGTGCAGCATAAAATGTATAATACAGGGAGACTCTGAATGGTTCATGAAGCTAAATGCTTCACTCAGAGCTATAGAATAAACCAACAGGCTGCAGTGAAGAGGAGTTACCAGGGTTTGGGACACTACTGGGTGGGTGATATCTGGTTGGGGTGTCCTTGGGTTGCTATCCATCAGTTCCTCTGTGGCCATGGGCCTGTGAGCTTGTGTTCTGTTCAGTGAGATCTGTACCAGTGCTCGGTTTGGCAATATATGCAAACTCTATTGTTTGTGCTGTGGGGTTTGCCATATGAAAAAGAAACAGGTGTCTTTGCTAGACAGCAGCTACTTGAAGATCTCATCCAGATGTTTCTTGAAAGAAGCCTTCAACAACACAGTAGCTTGTTCTATACTAACACCACCCTTTGAGTAAAAGTGCCTCCTGTTCTCGGAGTTAAATGGAATTCCACAAAGTTTCTATCCATTGGTTCGTGTCTGTGTTGTTTCTGAAGTTCATAAAGTTGATATTGTTTGATATTGATATTGATTGATATTGCCTTTGAGGAGGATTAATACACCACTAGTCATTCTAATGCGGTCTAGTGGTTGAGAAATGTATGCTGGATGGTAAATAAAAGGTGGAATATGTCTCCCTGTCCTCCGCTTCCTACAAATACCAAACCCTCTCATTCTACTTACCACGTCTAGATTCTGCATGATGTCTTGGAAGGAAGGGTGACTTCTAAACTGTTCAAAGAGCTCCCTCTTATACAGCAAGGCATAGACCAGGTTAGGGTTGTGGTGCAGGGAGTTGGCTAGGCAGGAGTTGATTATCTCCAGCATCATGCGGATCACCTCTTCGATCACATTTAGATCTTGTGCCTGCAAGGGACAGAGAGATGCATAGTTGAGACGACTAGACACAAACATTCGATCAAAATAACCTTTTCTTCTTCTCTCTGGGAACGTTTCCCTTCCATAAGCATCTATTCTATGTGTGTAAACTGCTCATTTTAAATAAAAGATTAGATGATCTGACGATATCTCAGTTAAAAAAGGCAATTAAATTGAGATCAGTTTAAAAAAAGGACAGAGAAAATCATGAGCACAATACAGGGTCTATTTTATTCAGCTTTCTTTGCTACTTATTTTACTATAATTTTAAATGATATTTTATTGTTGCTATAGAACTGCTATTCTTTCTTACACTATATACTTTCATACAGTGGAATGCACTAACACAAGGACTTTTCTGCAACTCCTGGAGTGTCTCTGAGCTCCATCAGTATCTTGACTTACATTTAGTTGGCTGCTATCACCCTGCGTAGCAGAATGGCACCATCTTAAGAGGGGAGTTTCAGAATGTTGTCGAGCAGATAAAACATTTTTGTTACACTGAAGGTATTATTTTGTCAGTATCTGCCTCAGACAGCACACCCTTGAGTTCAAGGCGTCAGAAGCAATACAGTGAGGGTCATAAAAGCTCAGTAGTAAACACTTCTATCAGTGTCCTGTTCTTTTTTAGATAATTCTCAGTGTAGGATACTTTACTCAGCTTTCCTGATCCAGTAGGTTTAGGCACTGATATTTGTAGTTTATACATGACTCACTGGGAACACTAAAATGAGTAAATGAACAATGAATAAATGTGATCAACAATATGCATTGTCTAATTTATGGTTTAGTAACTGAATTCTAAACTTGCTTAGATCACTACTGTACTGTTTAGGTCTATGTTACACCAAAACACCAACCCACTTACATGTAGCAGCACACACAGTTAACAGGGTTTTAAAATCAACAGCACCTCTATATTTTCTGAATTAATTCTGAATTAATTCATTGAAAATATATTGACTAAATAAAAAGTGTTGGGTCTAGTCATTCTAATTGAATAGTTGCTTTATTTGTAGGTTTGTACTCTTCATTTACAAAGTGTGACTGAACACTGAGTCTTTAAAACTGGCCAATAAAAGTCACTGAGTTTTTATGTCAGTTCTGTCTAAATTGCTTTGGCCAGTATAAGTGACCTTTTCCATTTAGCCTCTGATTCCAAGGCATCTCTCAGGAACTCTCAATGATATATACAAGAATTTGCTCTGTGAATGAACATATTTTGTGATCACTGGCAGGCATTTCTCCCCATGAATTCAAAGATGCAGCCCACAAAAGGTTTAGAAGGAAGATGTTAACACAGGTAAAACCACAAGACATGCAGTTTTCCCTTAAATCAGTAATCAGTACATCAGTACCCCCCCCAAATGAATTCCCAAGTAAAGCTAAATAAAAAACCTGAGGCTGAATCAAAATGTTTTGTCTTTACATGTTAAAACAGTCACTAATAGAGAGAGTTGTATATTAATCCTATGGAAATTCCCTCTTTATAATATCGAAGTGTTTAGCATTTTCTTTGTTTAAACCAATAGATGGAGGATCTTGAGCAGTTCACCCAGCAAAAGGCCATGTTTACACTGGTTCTAGATTCTGGTTAGAAGCCAGCCAGCAGTTTTTGTGGAAGGGAGGAATAGACTTGGTATGTATTTGGTATTTTCTTATACCAACGTTGCTCTTGAATCATGGTATTATTAGGTTTAATGAAGAGAAGAAGCAGACAAGGTGACAATACAAAGGTCACGGAAAACACTTGTGTGTCATCTTTCCAGTTTTACAGACAGGCTAAATTGGTACTATCCAGATAGTATTTACATGTATACACAGATGAAAAATAGTGATTCTGTAGAATAATATACACAGGTGAGTTCAAACATGCTACGTATCGTTGTGAAGACTAAGCGTAGCAAATTAAGAAATATAATAAAGTGGTTCAGAAAAGACAAAAAAACACCCCTTCAGTAGCTGAAACAAAAAGAGAATGACTTGAATTCATTTTATGTACTAGGCAATTACAGGCTTAGCCCTTACTTATTCTTAAAATGATAAAGCACCTTCTATACAGCATCCCCTTATGAGTTAACCATGCAGATAATTCTCTACATCTGTTCTTCATTATGCTTAACCAGGAGATCTTGGTGTAACAAGTTAAATTCCCAATAATGCCAACAACATAGCTGATTTATCTTTTTACCCTGAAGAAAAAGGAATAATAAAATATGGAGATTGCAAAGAGCTTAAAAACGGTTCAACTGGAAAAGCTCACTAATTAATATAATGTAAATTGGATATGTAGGAATTACACCTATCCATGCTGAAACATGTTTGGCTAGTCAAATTCTGTAAAAGGTTCTGACAAGTAAACACATTTTTGGATACAGCTCTGATGAATCTAAACTTCCAAAAAAAATTCCTTCATCTGAAGAAATGCTTTGTATTATTTTGGTCAATAGACTCTGTATTCATAAGTTTTTTTATTAAAAAAAAGGGGCTTTCCAAAAACACATCCAATGTTTCCTCTATTGTTAGCGCCTTTGTAAGCAAAAGCAGGAATTTCTAATGCTGGAGGCCTGATTTACAGTATATCGTTGAATTAAAGAGACATTTAAAAATAACACACGCTTTCTTCTTTCCTGACCTTCAGCCAGAACAGCAGAGGAAGCCGGGGGTACGTGAATGTCCGTCACCGAGTGTACGTGGCATGCTAGTCACGTTGGGCTTGTGGGGATAAGGGCTGGAAAATAGCTGTGGAGATCTTATCTGCTCCAACAGACTTTCTGGAGTCGTTCAGGTTAGATGAGAAATCACTCGACCAAACCCTGCACGCAAAATACACACACATGACACCACACTCTTGGTGACCGATCACAAATCCCCGCTGTCTTTTAATGACGGAGATTTTGTGCTCTCAGTGGCCTGTTGCATATTTGGAGGAGGCACAGTAAGTGGCACAGGCGGTTCATTTAGGAGCCTGTGAGAACCTACTGTGTCATGAAACCACATTTTTTTTACATGCCGTTGGCACCGAACAGAAGGGGATTTTTTCAGAATATAATGCAAGAGGAAGTGTTTAAGTGTGAGCCTCCTGTCACAGTGCTTGGCTGTTGCTTCGGTACCGACATGTAAATTCATTTCCGTCTCCACAGACACTCTGAAAAACGGGAATCAGAGCTGGGATCTACAACCCTGCTCCTGGAAAGCAACAGAACCTTCTGGTGTTGACTTCAGCAGTGTTCAGAACACCTGCACATCAAACATAATCAGCACCGGTCAACACATTTTACAGTCCACCACTCTAGTCCTTATTTAACGCTGGTGTTAAAAACAGCAAGGCTGTGGTTTTCCAGGACCATGGAAAGAAGACTTCAGAAAACTTCAACACACTTCTTTTCATTACTAGATTCTTCACCAGCTTTGACAGTCAGAACCTTCTCTTTTAATGAGGTCACTGGGATGTTGGGGAGTTTAGAATGGATGGGGTAAGGGTAAATAAACAACTGCACACATTCAGATCTACAAAACAAGTAGATCTGATCTGGAACACATCACAAAAAATAAAACACAGCACTGTGAAGACCGACTGATCTTTAAAGCTTAACATGAAAAATGGCCAAGTTTCCTCCAGGACCAGTTTAATTGCAGTAAGAGTCACGACTCTCCTTGGAAACTGCACATTCTTTGCCTAACTTTTGGAAACCAGGAAAAAAAAACACTTAGCCCAACACTCCTGCAGCGAAAGAAAAAGCACTGGCCTTCTGACATGGACAGCCTGGAGTGAAAACCAATCAGGGCAGCATTCTATATTGGTCTGAAAGGCAGCAGAAAGAACACTGCCACTTTGAACTAGTGTATGGAGAGAAAGCTTTGATTTCAAATCTGATGTAAAGTCAGAGAGACAAACTAGAGGTCCAGTGCTGCACAGCAAAGCACAAACAGGAAAAGAAGGGGAGACAGATTCTAATGGACAAAGCTGACAGACCTTGGTGAACCGACTTGAACTAGGAAAAGAAGGAACAGCTGGCGTCAGCTCCCCATTTATAACTTTGCTCCTTATCTGGGATGGTAGGACATTGCACGTAGCACAGGTCTAATTAAAGAAAGTTGTTTTGATGTGAAGTTAAATGGATTTTTTGTTGGTGTTGCTATTTCAGTAGAGAATGACTATTGCAGTAGATTGAAAAGGGTTTAGCCCCTACATGTTGAACATGTAGAAGTTATAAGGCATAACCTTATGGTAAAGCCACAAAATGGCAGGACAAAAATATTGCTTAAGATTGTATAGAAGTGTAAAGCATAAACATTTTACTGTACATCCGCACATTTTTGTTCAGTTGTATATCAATATGCCTGCACTTTGATGAAGCGCTAGATACACTGATAAGATTCATCTGTGAATACAAAAATGACTGCATTCTCACAGAACACACCTCTCTGCCCCAGACAGTAAAGGGAACTCATGAAGGTTATTGCTTAAAAGTGCAAATTAAAAGCATGGGAAATAGTGGGGGAGAGGGACCACAGGTAGAGAAAGATGAATGAGGTTTAGGTTAGCCTGGACTCCCCTGACATTGTGAACTTCAAGGCGAGGAAAGAATAAAGATGAGGCAAAGAAAGATTAATAGGCTTTGGGCTGTGGTAAGGGGAGTTTTTACAGAAGGGACCAGGGGAGCAGTGAGGGAAAAGTGAGATTAATGGGGGGTTACCTGATGGTGTTGAAAACCATGTGGTTGAGCTCGACAGCAGAGCAAAAATGGAAATTACAGTGAAGCACAAAATACAACAAAAACAAAAAAAAATCATTTCAATGGGTAACTACACTCTAATTAAGTCAAGTGAAAAAGAATAATGGCAACCATCACACGTCTCTGTGGCTTTCTCGCTTTTAGCTCCCCACAGGCCAAGAATGCAATTCACTCCTGCCACTTAGCTGGAAGGGAGTAAGAACAGCAGGCCAAGCATGAGACCTGGACAATGTGTGAGTGTATCTGACT